CCGGCCGCCCCGCCGCGGTCCAGCCTCCAGCGCCGCGCTCTCGCTCTCGGCCCGGGCCGCTGCGCCCCGCACCTGCTCTGCTTTATCTGGCCCCACCACCCCGTGTGAAGCGGCCCGCGGCGCGTCGTGTGCAAAAGCCCGCGGGGAAGGGGGAGGGGGTGACCGGCTGCAAAGGGCGCCCAGGTGCTGCCCCCGAGCAGCAGTCCCCTGCGCCCACGCCGCCAGAGGAGCCGACCTGGTCTGTGACGAAAAGCCTGACCGCCTGCGCCCAGCTCTGCCGCTGGGTATTGCTGAGTTAGGACTGGGCGAGGGCTGCGCCCACTCTCCTCCGCGGGGCTGGTCACGTCCCAGGAAAAAGTTCTCGGACTTTGGTTTGTGGAAATCCCCTTCGGGTTCTCTGAGGGCGGGAATGTGGCTCCTCGCCTCAGAATAGGGGCTCCTGTGGCTAGGGTTGTGTCTTCCCCCCTACACATTAGAGACTCCTGTGGGCTTGATGAATTTCCACCCTCAGAATGGAGACTGCTTAGGGCTTGATCATGTTTCCCCACTTTTGGTCTTCCCCTTAGACTACGAGGCTCCTGGAGGCGGGAGTATGCCTCTTCCCTAAAACTGGAGGCATTGTCCCTCCTTAGCACTGGTTGGGACTGACAGACCCATCCTCACCACTCCTCTCCTGCGGGCTCTGATCCGATTAGGACTGGCTTTGTTTCCCCTCCTATCTACAAAGAGCAGTGTCACGCTCCACCAGCAGTTGCCAGCTGGGCGAGTTGGCATCACCACCATCGTCACCACCTCCCCCTCCGGGCTGCAGCTTACTGGAGCCCCAGGAAGCGCAACATACACACCGCCAGGGAGATACAAGTAGAACGTGCGGTACGCCAACTACGCGTTGTGGTACCGCGGGGGAAGTAGCTGGTCCCTTGACGCCGATTTGGGCCCCACCCACTTGAAACAGCATTCTCCCATGGAGATCCCTGAGAGTTCAGGAGCCCGTGGGCCCAACACTAGCCTCTGATAGGTGCCTTCTGTATAGAAAGAAATTCAAGTTGGTAACCTCCCTAATCAATTGTCCCATTCTCGGATGTGTCCTTCTTTGTCACCAGGACCATGGCTTGGCGGATGTGGTCCTTCACAGAGGGAAGAGTGGACTCAGGCCGCGTTCCTACACCACTGGGGAAAAGGAGGGGATCCATCAGTCCCTCCCTGCACAGGAGTCATCTTGGTAGCAGACAAGGTGCAAGGAGTGAGGGTAGCGAGTCACGACTGCCTTGGTTAGGTCCCCACTGGGTGTCTTTCTTTTCACCTCCTCTGGACTCCAGGTGTAGCAAACCTTTCCCTTGTGCTTCCCGAATTTCTTAACATACAATCTAAGGACCAGCAGACTCAGCATTACCTAGAGAAGGTACTAAAATTAAGGTTGCTTGTCCTCGCATGAGACCACCTGACTCAGCATCTCTGGGTGTAGCCTAGGAATCTGGGGATGAAATCTGCATATTTGTAAAATTCCCAGAGGATTTTCTACACAGTAAAGTTTGAGTGAGGAGGTCTCAGATATGTATTCATCTTATCTTCCCCCTAAATTTAAAACCCTTTGAGGACAGGGATGTATCTTGTACTTCTATTACATTTTAACTCAGCTCTGAGCACCGACTGGACTGGAATAAAGAAGTAGACTAGTATGTTGTTAGCTCCTTTGGAGTTGGCTCCAGCTCAAGGCAACCTGTGTACAACAAAATGAAACTGCCTGGTCCCGCACCATCTTCACCACCTTTGGGATGCTTGAGTCTGTTGCAGCCACTGTGTATTTTGAGTGCTTTTCAACTTAGGGGGGAATCATCTTCCAGCACTATATTGAGCAATATTCTGTTATGATTCATAGGGTTTTCATTGGCTAATTTTCAGAAATAGATCACCAGGCCTTTCTTCCTAGTCTGTCAGTCTGGAAGCTCCACAATGGGTGACCCTGCTGGTATTTGAAATACCAGTGGCATAACTTCCAGCATCACAGCAACATGGAAGCCACCACAGTACAAGCTGACAGACGGGTGGTGGGATTGTCATTTAATCAGAGGAGAGGGAATGAGGTGGCTTCTGCTCCCAGGAGGAGTTTTTACTGGACGACCTCAGTTGCGTGTTATAGTTTCAAACTCTGCCCTATGCTCAGAACCCTGTCTTACAACCTACTTGAGGGAAAAGTGATTATGCTTTATAAACGTATATCTCTCTTGTTCCCTTTAATGCAAAGGATATCATAAATTCTCCAAAAAAAAAAAAAGCAGATTTATAAATTGGATCCAGCTACATAGTCAATAAAAAAAAATTTACAGATTTCTTTTAAATTAATACTTTCCCATGATGCATTTTAGTGGATTTGCAAGAGTTCAACTGACCAAATAGTTACTTAATCAAGACTTCAGTACCTACTGAAAAATGCCAGATCCATTTGTATTATATACTTGGCTCCTCCAAAGATGCCCAGTAGGTCCTGTGCAGAATGGCTAGCGATCCCCAGACCTCAGCATCACCTGAACATTGTTATTTAAAAAATATATATATAAATTCCCTCATTCCACAACTAGAGCCCAATGATTCAGGAGGTCTGGGGTGGAGCCTGGGAATCTATATTTTAAAAATCCTTTTCCGTGTTTGACATTATTGTAGAATTATTGCTCATTTCTTATGGTATGTTGTTGTTAGCTGACATGGAGTCAGTTCCAACTCATGGCAACCCCATGTGTGCAGAGTAGAACTGTTCCATAGGGTTTTCAAGTCTGTGACTTTTCAGAAGCAGATCGCCAGGCCAGTCTTCTGAGGTGCCTCTGGATGGGTTTGAACGGCTAACCTTTCAGCTAGTAGTCGAGTGCTGAACTTTGTGCCACCCAGGGCCCATTTTATGGTATAATGGATATGATTTTTTTTTTTTTTTAAAGAACTCTATCTAAAGTATTGGAGGATACATGATAATGTTGTCTGGGATTTTCCTTAAAATAATCCCAGTGGGGTGAGTGGGTAAGAGTATAGAAGAAACAAGATTGACTATATGTCATTTACTGTTGAAACTGAGTGATGGGTACATAGGTGTGCATTATACTATTCTGTATATTTTATAATATGTTCGAAATATTCCACAATTAAAGGTTTGGGAATAAAATAAACCTGCCCTGGTGATTCTGATGCAGCAGTCTATCGAACTGTGTTTAGGATTCTTTGCAATAACCCCTCTGAAGCCAGTTCCTGTCTTGCAGCATGATGTTAAAGGAAGCCCATTGATCAAAAACCCATTTTTACCACCCTTAAGTGTTCTGCTTTTCAAGGAGAGGAGAATCCTTTAGGTGGCAAAGTAGAGATCCCCTTATTATATCCCCTTAGATATTTTCCTAGAATTTAAGCTTTAGCTGATTACAGAGCCTTGACTGTCCTCTCCCACCCCCAGATAAGTAACAAGCTATCAGGTAAACATACTTGTTTTCCGTATAATCAGTAACCTGGAGAAGCAATCTGGAGACAGGATGTGCATTGATTCTTGAATTGTCATTTCAAGGTAATGAAAGCCTCTCTCTTTCTGGCCTCATTCTTTCATAGTTCTATGGGAAGAGACTCTAGGAGATAAAACCAAGGAAAAGCAAGTGCGCGGTTATCAAAAAACACAGGATAATGGCTGTTATGTATTGTGTCTCCAAAAAAATATGTGTTGTAAATCCTAACCTCTATGCCTGTATCTATGCATGTGAAAGGTAGAGAGTAAATAAGTAAGAATGAAGAAGAATTGATGCCTTTGAATTATGGTGCTGGCAAAGGATATTGAATATACCATGGACTACCAGAATAACGAACATGTCTGTCTTGGAAGAACTACAGCCAGAATGCTCCTTAGAAATAAGGATGGTGAGACTTCATCTCATGTACTTTGGACATGTTATCAGGAGGGCCCAGTCCCTGGAGAAGGACACCATGCTTGGTAAAAGAGAGGGTCAATGAAAAAGAGGAAGGCCCGCAACAAGATGGAGTGACACAGTGGATGTAATGATGGGCTCAAGCATAGCAATGATTGTGAGGATGGCGCAGGACTGGGTGGTGTTTTCTTCTGTTGTAAATAGGGTCACTATGAATTGGAAACAACTTGATGGCACCTAAAAGCAACATGCCTTTGGTTATAATCCCATTTGGGAATGGCAGGATTAGTGTAGGGTTGTCTTGAATCAATCTCCTTTGAGATATAAAAGAGATTAAACAAGTATGCAAAGGTGAGGGAAGACACATGCCAAGCCACATGAAGATCGTCCAGAAGCAGAAGCTCAAAGAGACAAGGAGCTTCCTCTAGAGCTGACAGAGGGAAAAAGCCTTCCTCTAGAGCCAGAACCCTGTATTTGGACTTTCTAGCTTCGTAAAATGTGAGAAAATAAATTACTATTTGTTAAAGGCACCCACTTGTGGTATTTCTGTTATAGTAGCAGTAGGTAACTAAGACAGAAATTGGTACCGGGAGTGGGGTGCTGCTCTAACAGATGCTTAAAATGTGGAAATGGTTTTGGAGTTGGGTAATGGGTAGAGGCTGGAAGAGTTTTAAAATGCCTAATAGTAAAAGCCTATATTGCCTTGAAGAAACTGTTGGTAGAATTATGAATATCAAAGACAGTTCTGGTGAGGGTTCAGAAGAAAGTGAGAAGAGCTTTAGAGAAAGTCTCTATTGTCTTAGAGAAT